ATGTGTAAAATGCGGTTATCAAGTATACCAATTTAAATTATATATTTAATTTTAACCTGCCGCAATTCAGTTTTCAATGATTTTGACATGTTTACTTGCTCTGTAATTATGAGTTACGTTAAGTAAATGTATTAGGTATTCAATGCGATTTCTCTAAAATACGACAATACTCGTAGGTGCACACACTGCAGTACTGCACAAAGCGTTTTCCATGAATATCTATTATTCAGGTATTCTAGTGTAGACTGTTAAGTTTTTAATTTATATACGTTCCTATTAATTATTAATTTCAATAAACTATACTTTAACACTATTGACACTACTACACTAATAATCATTTAAATGCAGTAAATACAATTTATTTTTCTTTGTTATTATTATTATACCTACTATAATATTAATTTTCTGACAAGTATATTTTTAATATGGCAGTATGTAATATGTAACTGATAAATTAAAATATTTATAGGTACATAGCAGAGTTATAAATTATATAATTAATGATTATACCCTTAGAAGAAATGATTCGTTTTTATAAGTTATTATATTATTTATAAACAATTATTATGGTTTTATTTTTACAAATAACATATCATGATTGACAACCGTAACGTTTATTCATGTATAATATTTTTTATGGATCATTTTTTTTCACATCTTTTTTAAAATTATACCTTTTAGTTTTCATAATAGTGTATTTCTAGTTAGGTTGCTTGTAGAATGACACTAAATTGGTTAGCAATTAAAAAAATAATAATTCTTTTTTGAACGAGAAAGTAACGTAATTACCTACCTCCTTTTCTATTTTAAAAGTAAAGTGAATTTTATTGAGTAAAGTAACTTTATTACTTTTTAAAAATAATTTAGGCAACACTGTAAAATACTATTTAAGTATTAAATAAATAATAATACTATTAAAGTATTTATAATCAATATTCAATGCAATTAGTCATAACAGTTACAAAAAACTGCACTGCAGTCTACAATATATGCAATATATTTCGAATTAGAACTTATTGATTTTCGAATTAATGAATATATACATGTATTATACATGCTATGATGTATATTATATAACTAATGACTAAAAGTCTATTTCATGATGCTATATTCAATATTCCTGTAATAATGTCCTAACGGCCTTTTTTCTGAGGATTATTTTTTTTTACCTATTTAAAAAAGCACACATATTCGAGCGTGGTCACTCGATTGCTACTCTTGCTCGGACATTAAAATCGAAAATATTCCTCAACTTGTGTAAAATCACACTTCACAATCGTTTTCAATGTACATTACAGCATAGGTTTCAGAAAAAAAGGCGTCCCGTAAAGTACAAATAAACCAAAAAAGAGACTTTAGCAACATATGAAACCTTGCTAATGCCTAAAAGGTAAAATTGGTGAAATAGAAAAAGAATTAAGATACTAGCAGGCATTATAAGCACCAATTTCGAAGAACTATATAAAAGTATTTTTTTTTTTTTTGTCATATTTATTTTTATTTGTACAATCTGTATAAAAAAATATTTACAATAAGTACAATGGAGATAATGATAGTATATATTGGTAATTGGACATGGTTGACTTGTTGAAGAGACTATTCATTAATAGCACTTCATGGCAGGATGGTGGACTAGTCTACTAGTCGATTAGTAGGTCACGGCACCAGCTACGCTTTAAACGTCGGCCAGGGTCGCCCGGGATTGTTCGGCAAGATAGGTTTTGGATGAGAGGGTTTCGGTGATTTGGAAGTTTAAGGTGGAAACGTTTATAGAGGGTTTTGGCGACGTTTTTTACTGTCGGAATGAGGAGGTCCCTGTGGAGGGTATCATTTGTAACATTAAAAGGGGCTTTGGTTATCTGCCTGAGGCATTTGGATTGAAATGTTTGGATTCGGTTTATGTTGGAGTCTTTGGCTGAACCCCAGAGTTGGATTCCGTAGGTCCAGATAGGTTTGAGGAGTACTTTGTACATGAGGATTTTATTGTGTAGTGAGAGATGTTTGGATGATAGGAGGAGGCGAAGTTGTCTTTGACGATTATTTAGTACAAGTCGTTTGTTACGTATGTGGGTAGCCCACGTGAGTCGACGATCTAGGCATAAGCCTAGTTAACGGACATTTTGAGCGGTCGGGAGTGGTTGGTTGTTGAGTGTGATAGAGGGACAGCTTATTGGTCTGAGAGTGAATGTGCAGTGAATGGATTTGGATTCATTGAGTTTGAACCCCCATTCTTTGTACCATGTCGAGAGGATGTCAAGGTGGGTTTGGATTCTGCTGGATGCCTCGAGAGGGTCATGGTGAAGAGCCAGGATGGCTTTATCATCGGCGAAGTCACCGGATTTAAAAGTATTAAAAGAATTAATAGTTGAGTAGGTATCGAAGATACCAACTTAAAATAGAAAAAAGGTTTGGGTGGTTTACTATGAATGAATTGCACTCTACAACCAACCCTATTGTACCTACACAATGTAACAAACATTCAAATTAAAAAAAAGCGGGTAAGTGGATGTCGCTCTGCTGTACATTATGTGTCTAAGAGGTCGCTGTAATGGATGGTATTAAATTTGAATTCAATAATGATATCAAATCATTGTATACGAAAAACGATTATGAGAGGAGATGGTATGTCAGTTTAGGATATTTTATATCGTTATTCGTTACTACTTATTATTAATATGCAGGTAGCCGGTAAGTTGAATAAATATTATTCTTACATTTTCAGTGAAAATGGAAAAATGTTAAATATACCTAAATGTAAAACTGGGCTGTTTTCGAACCGAATTACAACAAAATGATAACCGTTATTATTCTTGGTGTGAATTTGCAATTTTGTCCAAATTTGAATTTAAAAAGTATAAAAAACCTGTGTTCATATAATTTTTATATTTCTTAGTAACGGAAAAACTGCTTAAGTGGAACCTTATTTAACTTTCAATCTTTAGCTATAACAGTTGAAAATTGTATACATTTTAAACTATAAAATAGTTTTCAATTTGATAAATATTGTCCAAATTTGAACTTAAAATGCTTATAAAAAAAAATCGTGCTTATGTGTTGTTAATATTTTTCAACTGCTATTGTAAAGAGTTATCAAGAGTCTTGTATTAATTTTTCATGCTTTTTGACACAACCAATACAATTTTATTGACATTTATAGAAAAAAAATGAAAATTGAAAATGTCCGTCAACAGCTCAAAACGTGTCAAAATATTTTTTAAATTTTATCGATTATCTGAATTGATGAAATAAACATTTAGTGTAAAATTTCAAGTGTTTACAGTTATTCATTTTTGAATTACAACAAAAGAAGAAAATCGCTAAAAGAGAAATCAAGTGAATATCCAATGTCATAAAAATTTCAACTTCAAACGCTCATAAAAATTTAATGTGACTTTCCGGTAGAAATTTATTTTTTGATTAAGGTAGGCAAACCTGTAAGGAATCTTGTATTAAATTTTTAAGTCTTAGATATAAATAGAAAAATTATGATGAATTTCTAACTAAATATAATATGCTAATTTTTGTGATTTTTATGAATTTTGTCAAAATTCAAGTTTAAACGCTCATAAAAAATGACTGAAGATTAACTCTTAATTTTTTTTTAAATTTATATTAACAACAACTATTAAGGAACCTTGTACTTCATTTTCAAGTTTTTTGAAGTGACGAACATTTTTTTATCAATATTAGTTTAAAAAAAAGAAATAATATTTGAAAATTTCATATATGCCTATAAATAGTTCACACAAATCAACCACGATGACAGACACAAAAATAATAAAAATAAAAACACACATCATTGTAAAATCTATACATTCAACTCTTCGCTCAGAATCTAAATTGTTGATTATCACAAAATAAATGTGAAACCTATAAGAAAATTACTAAAATTTTGATCATACTCAAAATATTACTGTTGTAAGTTACTACCATTTATTTCTAAATCAAAGTGTATGAAATGCAGTGAATAACACACACACAATCGCCCTAAGTTTGAGAAATTAAAGCCGAAATGCGCAAACTGTTGTAAAGAATACACCGAAAATTGGAAAGTATGCTTTGCGTATACAAATGCAAAAGAAAAAGCTCATACAAAAAATCTATTGTTAATTGTGATTTATAGATTCATCACTTATTGTTTTTAGTTTTAAGTCTGAATGTAGAGAAAAAATTCGAGACGTAAGGATGAGGTGCATTTGTTAACTTTTTTAGAGCAATGTTTTGAAATGCTTCAATTACGTCATAGCTGCATACAGTATGTAAGCAGTTTGATACCTTGGAGCATAGGTGGAAATCATACCTATGAATGGACAAGCATTAAGATTTAAATAATATGGGTAATATTAGTATTACGTTTGCTTCTGCCTATATTTTTATATTTTATACACTCCAAACTTAAAATATAAATTTTATTTAATATTTTATTACAACGAGGAGAAATACAGTAGAATACAGTTGGTAGGTGATAATATATTAATACCTACCGCAGTACCGCTACTATACCTATTCTGCAAATCTAGTACTAAAACTATTAAAATGTAGATGTTTAACTTATCTACCATTGATTTTAAATACTTTATCGAAACTATATTAGTAGGTACATACAACATACTTACATACTACATAAGTTATTGAAATTTCTCCAACAAATAATCGTACCTACTAAATGATTTTTGTTAAAATAATGTCGGTAGTTTTTATAATGTTCAGTAATTTGTATTGAATGCTTTTTTACAAATATTTATAATTATAGACTTGCAATATATTATATATATCTAGTAATCATTCGTTGTAGGTAATTAAATATTAGTTAAATAATAGCTTTAATAGCTTAGAGTTTGTAAGCTGGTGGAAAGGCGGTATTTATTATTCCCTGTTATACCTACCACAGGTATCGTGGTATTTGGATGGATCACTGTCAGCTTGGCAGACTACAGTTTGCAGCACTGTAGTTGTTAGTTTCCGATTTATGATAAGTACGGGTGCGAAGTCGCGAAGATGACAATAACAACCTTGGGTCGTTTCCAAGTCTCTCATTACTTTTGTTGGGAGAAAAAAAAACGCCAGTGTTTTTAATAGACAGTTCGACAAAAGGATTGCGTAAAATGAACTTTTGGAGTTGACCGTATCGTCGCCGTTTGACCAGTGTTATTCTTCGTTAGTAATCAATTGCTCATCGTCGTACGTTTGTGTGGAAAAATCTATCAACAATGTCCACGCCAGCTAGGAGAAGATTGATGAGAGATTTCAAAAGGTAATAACTTTATAGCGACCACATCATCGGGCGACTAAAAATAATCTCTTTGTTTTTACCCGATTTGACGGTCTTACTTGTTTCTAAAACCTATTGATATTAGATTGCAGGAAGATCCGCCGACTGGTGTAAGTGGAGCACCTACTGACAATAATATTATGATTTGGAATGCAGTTATATTTGGGTAAAGCTATATCTACTGTAGTGTTGACAAAGACAAACATTCCAGCTTAAAATGTTTTCTAGGCCACATGATACACCATTTGAAGACGGTACATTTAAATTAACTATTGAGTTCACTGAAGAATATCCAAATAAAGCACCAACAGTGAGATTTGTATCAAAAATGTTTCATCCAAACGTGTATGCAGATGGTGGTATATGCTTAGATATATTACAAAATAGATGGAGCCCTACATACGATGTATCTGCCATACTAACTTCAATTCAAGTACATACTTACTAATTAAAAACCATAATTTAATATAGCTACATCTACTCTGGGCATCTTTTTTAATGTCATAAAATATATAGATTAATAATTGTAGACCATATTTTATCTTGTAACTTAAAAAAGCATGCTTTATGTTATTATCGTTATTAGTTGTGACTATTGTAGGCGAAGATAAGAAATACCATGGTTGACTTTGGTAAAAATAATAATAAATTAGTCAACAATTATTTTTAGCCATTTGATAATTTTTTACCTACTCCTAAATAATTTTAATTAATAAATCATGATTCTTATTAAAAAAAGGTGCCTAATTATGTAGATATTTATTACATAACAGTATTTGATATTTTGTATCATTTTTATTATTTAGTCATTACTCAGTGATCCAAATCCAAATTCGCCAGCCAATTCAATGGCCGCTCAGTTATACAAGGAAAACCGACGGGAATACGAAAAAAGAGTGAAGGCTTGTGTAGAACAGAGTTTCATTGATTAATTTTTTTTTGAAGTGCTTAACATTTTCATCTTTAGTATTTATCAAATATGAAGAAAAATAAATATATTTATATATATATGTATATGTATAATATGTATTTACATTTCCAAAAATTCAATATTTTTATTTTATGAATTTCATTTTTCTTTTATTTGGTAAACGATTGTTATATTTTGTGGCTTAAAACTAACATAATACATATAAATATATAATTTAATTTAAAAATAAAATGATTAAACATGTTTGAAATGATTAATCAATTAGAAACATAAAATGAATTGAGTTTAATTATTAGTTCCACAATTCTATTTACTGATATATGTCTAGTCTTGATAGAACTGTAAGTATTATTCATTTAAGATTGTTATTTACAATTATATTTTAGAATTTTTTGTTAATTAAGAACCAACTCGCCGAGTGATAATTAAAAATTATAATTAATAACACAAATGATCAGTGATCATATCGATTTTTTAATTTTTAGAATGGAACTAAACTACTTTACCTAGTGAATTTTTTTTTTGTTAGAACTTAATTTTGGACAGATTTTGATTGCTCAATTTTACTTAACTTGCTAAAATATGTAAAAAATCATAATTTGTGTTAATAGTATACTCAAGCATTGTGTGTGATCGTAACTAAAATTACAAACTTTAGAAACCTACAACTAAAAACTAGAGAGCACCTCAAATTTTCTTTTGTACTATTGTTCTTAATTCATTACTATACATTAGATCCAAATAGTAAGTTCGCTCGGTAAAGGAGTTTCATACCAAAATAATAAATTCTTCCTGTTTATTTAATATTATCTTATAGTCCAAAGTATTGACAAAGATGAGTCACAATAATTCATAATTTGTGGCTAATATAGGTTTGGTTTAAATTTTAATGAGATCATACATTTATTTAATATTTTTTATTCTCTTTGTATGTTGATGTTAATTTACTATAGTATTATTAAAAAATTACATTGGCACAGAAGTACAGGCTCTAGAGGTTCTTTTAATTATGTCATATGTCTTACATTAAATAATATTTTTCCATCCATTTTTAATTTGTGAATAGTTTCTGATCTTTAATAAGCTTATTTTTTTTTTTGAAATTGTATCATATTCTTTGATCAAAATAATACATTTTGACCCAACAATTTTATAATAGAATTTCGATTGGTAAAATACTTCTAATAGATTATATTAAATTATTCTCCAATATTTGGAATAAATACACTACCAAAGTTTGAATATAAAATATTTATTACTTATACTAATTATTAATGCAATTTGTTTTATACTTTTTGTGTATGTAAAATATTATAATATATAATTTATTTTAAGGTAAGTTCGCTCAAAATGTAGTTTCAAAAATAATAATAATTTAACAAAGCTTTCAAATATCTTATAAACAATAAGAACATAACATTGAATTTAAATAAGGTGAAAAAATGTACCACCAGTCTTTATACTTATGTGTGAAATTTGTGCTGTCTATGATTCTCGTGAAACATAAATATTTTAAGGGCAGAATTATAAAATAATTTTCATAGCATTAAATATCCATGATCAATTTTGTTCTTGATTTACTTGATTGCCAATATTAACTTGAAGTTCTTCATGATGTCTTTCTTTCTTTAAAAGTGTAATTAATAAATCGTTTTCAGAAATGTCATTAGATATTTCCAAATTATATGTATTAACCTAATTCAAAAGAATTTTATTGATTAATTTAGAAAAAAAATAATTATGAATTTATGAGTATAGGTAAGTACCATCATTAATAAAGATAAAAAATATCGAGCAACTTCTTCTTTGTCAAGTCCTCCAACTAATTCTTTGAATAATTTTTTTTCGCCTATGAATTCAAAGCAGCTCAATATACGTGTTCCATATTCATGTACATCAAACTCTGTTCTTTTTTCTTCTTCTTCTAAAATTGGACGCAGGTTATTATGCCATTCCTGTACTCGTTGTCGCATTTTAAGTTGTTCATTCATCTAAAGTATTAAAGAATAAAATAACATTTCTTTTATTAAGTGAAAAATTTAAATCACCATTTCTATTTGATTTAGTTCATGTTTCTGCATTTCTATTGCATTTCTCTGATATGATTGGAAATTTTCAATATTGGCATCCTCAATCGGTTCTTCATTTTCTGGTTGGTCAATATCTCCAAATAAATCATTGTCATCATGAATTGGACTGTCAAAGCCTATAAATCCTGGTTCATCTGCATCAGTTCAACAAACAAATTTTAACTACACACTTTTAATTGTGACAATCTACTATAAAACATATATATATATTTTTTTTTAACATTAAGATTTATTTTTATTTTTATTTAAATTAATATCGAAAGATTACTGGGCCTCACTGAGGAAAACTCGTGTGGAGGCCCAGAGAGGTCACTCCCTCACTTCGCTTGCGGACAATTTAAATTGAAAACATCGCTCGATTTTCTACGATGTAAAACCATTATAGGAAGGTCTCAAAGTAACTTAACCTAACCTTGCTTCGAGAACCTATTGAGATGAATTTACATTTGAAGTTGAAACTTTGAAAGGAAGCTTTCGATTTAAATGATCCGAGCGAGTGAGTGATCCCTGCAGAGTCTAAATGTACTATGGGGATGGTATTCACAATTTTTCTATGAAAATTTATTAATAAGATGTTAAGTTTTTTGGACAAGCAATGTTAGATAAATGAAATAATAAAAAGCAGGGACCAACCAACAAACGCATTCTTTCTTCCTTATTATTTTTGCATAATTTAAAATCTTAAACTTTTGATACAGTAGCCATAATTAAAACCAAATCTAATCTTTTTTTTCAATTATTTGTAAAAAGTGATTTTATCCGTACTATATACTATGTAGCAGCAATTCTAACCAGTGCCCAAGGACACCACAGCTCATACGAGTATTAAAAAACATTATTTACAATTTATTGTAGTTTAAGAGAAAAAATTGTTATGTTAAGTATGTGCATTCAAGAAAAAATGTATTACTGGACAGTGTATTTTTAAAAGAGTGATTGAATGTTATCTAATAATGCAGACCTTTCATCTACGAGATTTCTAAACACCTCAAACAACTGAATTTGAGCAATATTGAAATATTTCGTTACAGCTTGAAAGGTGTTGTTGAAAGACCATGATTGGGTCCATTCTCAGTTTATGAAAAACCCTCAAACTTATTTTAAATAGAATACAAAAGTTTGATCAATATCACTTTAGAGTCAATAGAAATTCATGCATTGGATTTTGGGTATCTTTGAAGAATAAACGTTTTGAAGATTTGAGACAAAAAGTAATATTATTCTCTTTCCACCATTTGCTACGACTCATTAATAATAAGCAGGATTTTCAGATGACACTGTCACTAAAACCAAATACTAGGTTTCAAACTTTGCCAAAAAGAGCAACCACAAAAATCTCATTAGTTATTAATTTTACAGATAAGTTTTTCATTGTTGAAGCAGTTTTTGTCTAGAAATATTTTTTTTTTTATATTTTCAACTACAATTTTGTGATTTGATAGTAATATGTGAAATACAATTACTTATTAAATCGGTTATTAATGAGAACTAGTTTTCATTTTTATCAGGTTCCTCATGGTATTCACAGAAAGGCACCACTAGGTAAAAAGGTTGGGAATTTATAGAATAATATATTCATACGTCCTAAAATTTTAGATTCTGAGCTGAGCAATAAATATATTGATTTAAATATTGTTTTTTTGTACACTTTCAATTTGAAAAAAAATCTGAAATTCTAAGCATGGTTGCCAAAGTTATTTTTAATTGATACTAATAACTATCAATATAAAAAAGAACATTAGAAGCTACTAGATGTAATAGTAAAAAAATAACGCTAGGCACTAAACTAATTTTGTATTCTAGCATAAATAACAATAAGGACAAAATTGTACGGAGAAAAATAACTCTTAAACTAAACAATTTTATCACATCTCATGTAAAAATATCTGGTAATTGGTTCAATTAGCTCTAAGTTTGTTGGAATATCTACTTTTTGTTTCCCAATCCTACTCACTGGAATAATCAGAACTATAAAAACCCGTAAGCAATTAATAGTTATAAATTCAATCAAAATAGTGAATGACACAGCAGGAGGGTGTCAAGCTAATAGAAAATATAATCTTAAATACACTAATAACAAAAAAAAAAACAAGTCACTCTGCTGTACATTCATGAGCTTTGTCATTAAGTAGATCGCTGTAATGGATGTTTTAAATTTGAAATCATTGCATAAATAAAATAATTTTATGCAGAGACGGATATTTTATAAATTATTTATTTATTGTACTAACATATCTTGAACTGATTTTTGCCAAAACAATGCATATTATATTATAATTATTTGAACATTATATAATTTACCATTATTATTAACTTATAACCAGTGTGAAATTAAAATGAATCTATAGATTGAAAATTGAATTATGATACCAAACAGTTATAACTAGTGAACATAACAGAGAAGTATCAATTTCTTATAAATTATATTATTTAAATTGCAATATGATAAATGAAATCATTATTTTTTGTTTCGTTTAAATATCCCAATCGCATAGAATTATGAACTTGAAATGTCTATAAGCAAAAACTTATACATTCAATTTATTTTTTGATTCCAGTAAGAACAATTAACGAGGAACCTTGTATTATATTTTCAAGCTGTTCGGTCAAACATAAAAAATTTTGACATGTCAGCCCAAAAATAAAAAAATTACTTAACATTTCGGCTCTATAAATAGATCAAAAAGAGCAAAAATATTTTAAAAATTAGGCATTATTAATATAAATGTTTAATGAAAAATTTGAATTATAACAAAATTGAACATACCACCATTTTTCAATCTTTCTTCAATTTCTTTATCATGATCTAAGAATAATTGGTAACATTATTAGTATTAATTATGATAAAAACTGGTCATGCATAAACTCAAATTTAAAAAACTTACAGCCAAATCGTTCTTTTTCTTCCTCTGCAAAACCAATGAAAAAATTTGTATCAATAAAATTTGAAGTAGGAATATTTATGAAATATTTTAACATTTACCTATAGTGCGTTTTTTTTTAAGTTTAACTATTTCAGATCTTTGGACTTCCAGTGCATCATGGACAAGTTGTCTAAATACAGTATCAGCATATAAACCAGATTTTAATCTAAACATTTGACATGTTAATTCTGCTACAGTATATGTTGGTAACCACATTCCACCATCCTAGAAATTTTTCATATCCAAAAACACGTTAAGAAATTGTAGTTTAATCAAATCTGCCTAATATTAGCCAGCCATTGTTTGAGTTGGCTTGATATAAG